CTACATAGCACATTTTTGAGGTTCATCCATATTGTAGCATGTGTCAATATATGGTAGAATACTATTCAGTTCTAACAGATATGCCGCATTTTAAAAATCCATTCATGGATTTTTTTTAAAATGATGGACATTTGGGCTTTTTTCCATCTTTTAGCCATTGTGAATAGTGCTGCTATGAACATCTATGTACAACTTTTGGTTTGAATACTTGTTTTCAATTCTTTTGGGTAGAAACATAAAAGTAGAATTGCTGGAATATATAGTAATTCTTTTTTTTAATTTTTTTTCCCCGACTCCTGCAGACTTTTTCTTTCTTTCTTTCTTTCTTTCTTTCCTAGGTTTTTTTTTTTTTTTTTTTTTTTTTTTTTTTTTTTTGATGAGGTCTCGCTCTGTTACCCAGGCTGGAGTGCAGTGGCGCTATCACTGTAGCCTCAAACTCCTGGGCTCCAGCAACTCTCCCACCTCAGCCTCCCAAGTATTTGGGACTACAGGCATGCACCATTATGCCCAGCCAATTTTTTATTTTTATTTATTTATTTATTTTTATTCTTTTTTTTTTTTGAGATGGAGTTTTACTCTTGTCGCCCAGGATAGAGTGCAGTGGTGCAACCTCAGCTCACTGCAACCTCCGCCCCCTGGGTTCAAGCGATTCTCCTGCCTCAGCCTCCCGAGTAGCTGGAATTACAGGCGCCCGCCACCATGCCCAGCTATTTTTTGTTGTTGTTATTTATTTATTTATTTATTTTTTAGTAGAGACGGGGTTTCACCATGTTGGCTCAGCTGGTCATAAGCTCCTTACCTCAGGTAATCCACCTGCCTTGGCCTCCCAAAGTGCTGGGATTACAGGTATGAGCCACATCGCCCAGCCACATTCCCTTAGTTTTTACCTACTGTCCTTTTTCTGTTCCTGGATCCCATCCAGGACACCATATAACATTTAGTTGTCATTTCTCCTCGGCTGTAACAGTTTTTCAGACTTTTCTTGTTGTTGATGACCTTGATAGTTCTGAGGAGCACTGGCCAGGTATTTTGAAGACTATCCCTAAATTGAGATTTTTCTGATGTTTTTCTCATGATTAAACTGGGATATGTATTTGGGAGAGGAAGATCACAGAGGTAAGGTACCATTTTCATCACATCATGATTAGGATACATACTATCAACATGACTTTCCACTGTTGATGTTGACCTTCAACATCTGCTGAGATGGTGTTTGTGAGGTTTCTCCACTGCAAAGTTACTCTTCTCCCCGCTTTGCACGCTGTACTCTTTGGAAGGAAGTCACTGTTTGCAGCCAATGCTTAAGGAATAGAGTGATGCTCCTCCTCCTTGAGGGCAGAATATCTACATAAATTACTTGGAATCCTTCTGCATTAAAGATTTGTCTATTCTCCCCCATTTATTTATCTATTAATTTAATCACTTATTTATATCAGTATGGACTTATATGTATAGATTATATATATATATGCTATATATATAATATATTTTTTTTGAGATGAGGTCTCGCTCTGTCACCCAGGCTGGATGGAGTGCAGTGGCATGATCACAGCTCACTACAACCTCTGCCTCCTGGGATCAAGCAATCCTCCCGTCTCAGCCTCGGCCAGCCTCATACATATTTTAGACTTTGCCCGCCTTCATTTTTATGCTCAATAATTTTTACTTTCTTTCTTTTCTTTTTTTAGAGACGGTCTGATTCTATCACCCACACTGGAGTGCAGTGGCTCAGTCACAGCTCACTGCAACCTTGAATTCTTGGGCTGATACCTCCCACCTCAGCCTTCCAAGTATTAATAGTTGGGACTACAGGCATAAGCCAATGCGCATGGTCTACTCTCTTTTTTATGCAATTAACAGCATTTTGACATCAGCCAACTAACTAAGCAACAATAGGGTAGTTCCACTTGACTACCACATGGCTCCTGATATTAGAATACTCTCCCTGGGCCCTGCAGAATGTTTTCTTTTCTATCAGAGACAATGACAGTTCTCTGTAAGTATTCACTGAAACTGGTCTTCCCCCTGAGGGGCAGATAAGAGTCTGGGGAGTGCCTCCCTATGCTTGTCTTATCAATGAAATAAGTTCCCAGACTGGATGGAGGAAATACCTTGAAGGCTGTATCAGGCAGGGTTCAATCAGAGAAAGAGAACCAGTAGAAGATACACATGAAGAGATTCATTGCAAGAAATGGGCTAACACTGTTGTAGGGGGTGGCTAAGAGAGTCTGAAATCCATAGGGTGGGCCACCAGGAAGAGCAAGCTGGAACTCTCAGGCACACACTAAAGCTGCTGTTCACAGGGAGAATTTCTTCTCCATCTGGGAAACTTCAGCTCTGGTCTTAAGGCCTTTCAACAGACTGAATCAGACTCACCCAGATTATCAAGGATAATCTCCCTTACTTAAAGTCAAATGCCTGTGGACTTTAATCACATCTACAAAATACTTTTACAGCAACACCTAGATTCATTTCATTGAATAACTGGGAACTGTAGCCTAGTGGAGTTGAAATGAAGGGGAGGAGAAAGGGCAAAAGAAAAAAAAGTGTCCTTCTAATCGGTGAAATTATGTGAAGTCTGGTGGTAGTGGAGGAGGAGGAGGAGGAGGAGAAGGAAACAAGAGAAAAAGAAGGAAGATAGCAGGAAGTCAGCAGAGGGCTTCCATAACCAGGATTATGATGACAAGTAAAAGATTGTGAAAAGAAAAAAAAAAGTTGAACCAGCCACATTACACCACAGATACAAAGCGTTCTCCATGAAGGATTTATTCAGATCCACTAGACAAGATGTTTTATCACCTACTCCAGAAAAGAAGAGGGAGGATTCTGCAAGTGGAAACAGTTACCCTCGGTAGCAACAGCAGAGACTGGAAGAGGATGGCTCACGGCCGGCCTCAGTGTCCAAGAGATCGCTAAATATAACTTCCTCATAGCCAGTCAAAAGGGATAGTGCCATATTCATTGATCTAGAAATTCTACTTCAAGGAATGTGTTCTATATTTATTCATTCTACAGATTTATTTATAGTCTACAAATTTATTCTATATATTCTACAAGTATACACATATATGTTTTTTTTGGTTTTGTTTTATTTTTTTGAGACGGAGCCTCTCTCTGTTGCCCCAGCTAGAGTCTAGTGGCTCACTGCAACCTCCACCTCTGAGATTCAAGTGATTCTCCTGCCTCAGCTTCCCGAGTAGCTGGGATTACAGGCGCGCACCACCACACCTGGCTGATTTTTGTATTTTTAGTAGAGATGGGATTTTGCCATGTTGGCCAGGCTGGTCTCAAACTCCCGACTTCAAGTGGTTTGTCCGCCTTGGCCTCCAAAAGTGCTTTGATTACAGGTGTGAACCACCGCGCCCAGCCTGGTTTTTGTTTGTTTTTGGTTTTTGTCTTTTTTTTTTTTTTTTTTTTGGTGGCGTCTCATTCTGTCGCTCAGGCTGGAGTACAGTATCGAGATCTCGGTTCACTGCAACCTCCGCCTCCAAGGTTCAAGTGATTCTCCTGCCTCAGCCTCCCAAGTAGCCAGGACTACAGTCATGGGCCACCATGCCCAGCTCATTTTTGTATTTTTAGTAGAGACAGGGTTTCACCATGTTGGCCAGGCTAGTCTCAAACTCCTGGCCTCAGGTGATCTGCCTGCCTCAGCCACCCAAAGTGCTGGGATTACAGGTATGAGCCACCATGCCAGGTCTATAAGTATATATTTTAAATGTTACATGTACAAAAATATTCACTGAAACAATCTGCAAGGGCAAAAAATCAAAAGTAACGTAAAAGTCCACCAGTATGACATTGATTCAAGAAGCGATGGTACTGCTAGCAATATCATACTATGCAGTCAGAGAAACAATGAGCAGCTCTAATATAGACTCTCTTGGAGATATATACTTCCAGGATATACCCTTTCAGGGATGTCCAATCTTGTGGTTTTCCTGGGGCACACTGGAAGAAGAACTGTCTTGGGCCACAAATAAAATACACTAACATTAATGGTAGCTGATGAGCTAGCTATATTTTTTTAATTGCCAAAAAGACATAAGTTTTAAATTTATTTATTTATTTTGAGGCTGTTGCACAGGCTGGAGTGCAGTGACACAGTCTTGACTCACTGCAACCTCCGCCACCCAGGTTCAAGCAATTCTCCTGCCTCAGCCTCCTGAGTAGCTGGGATTACAGGCACCTGCCACCACGCACGGCTCATTTTTGTATTTTCAGTAGAGAAGGGGTTTCACCATATTGGCCAGGCTGGTCTCTTGGCCAGGCTGGTCTAGAACTCCTGACCTCATGATCCGCCGATCTCGGCCTTCCAGCAAGTGCTGGGATTATAGGTGTGAGCCACCGCCGGGCAGAGGTGCTGTTTTTCTAAACTATGTCACATAATTTATCAAACTTTCTGACCTGTATCTGCTCATAGTGCCTTACACAGGGTTCAATAGCACTTCCACATGTAACTGGCAAAGCACTTCTACAGAACAATGCCTGGGCAAAAGCTGAAAACCTTGGGAACATAAGGGGCCATTTCCAGTTTTTCCAACTGAAAGCAGAGATTCTGGAAGAGCAGGAAAGATATAACAGCCGTGAATGCAGAGCTATTTGACAGTGTGAGAAAACAACTTGGCCTTTTGGACCATGACTGAAGACATTGGAATAACAGAGTTTTAGCTACAGAGAGCACATTGCATAAGGGCTAGAGTATGTTTGCTTGGACACATGCCAATCAGATCATGTGAGTTTTAAGCAGAAAACAAAGGCAGAGTTAGAAACATGTTCAAATGAAAGTAAAAATGGTTGCAACGGAGCACAGTTAAGAATGGCATTGCGCTTCCGGCGGCGCAGCAATGCTGGCCCGGGACCAGTGCTGGGGGTTGGGGGCCTGGGCTGCAGCTCGTGCCGCCCGCCCTGGTCGGGCGATCCGCGAGACCGGCTAGTAGACAGTCCCATGCCGCATCCCTGCCGACTGGAGGGTGTGGCCGCGCGTGGCGGGAGAGGCGTGAGTGACCGGGGCCCTTGGCGCGGAGACTTTGCTGGAGGAGAACCTGAAGGACCTGGACGAGTGCTACAACGTCCGCCGCGACAGGGACGGCGTGCAGAAGCCGCGGGTGCCACCCTGAACCCAGCGAGCCCTGATCCGCAGCCAGGATCCGGGCGACCCGAAGATCCAGATCGTGAGCCAGAGGGTGGGGCTGGTGGAGAGCCGCACGCGACAGGTGGACAGCCACGTGGAGCCGTTCGAGGCGCAGCAGGAGCAGGGCGACGCGGCGGGCGACAGCGTAGGGTCGGCCGGTACCGGCCCAGAGGCGAGGCGACCGCGCAGGCGGAGAAACCCAACAGGAAAGCGCTCCTGGCGGCAGCACAACAACGAGAACCGCGAGAACGCGTCCAACAACCGCGACCACAACGTCACCTCGGCCACGCCCAAGGAAATGAAAGCCGAGACCTCCAAGAAGAAGCAGCGCTCCTTGGCCAAGACGTAGCGGCAGGCGTCCCCCGCGGACTTCCCCATCGATTCCAGCGAGCCCTCCTACTGGGAGATGATCCGCTGCGACAACGAGTGCCCTATCGGGTGGTTCCACTTCTCGTGCATGGGTCTCAGCGATAAACCAAAGCGCAAGTGGTACTGTCCCAGATGCCGGGGATCGGGGGGAAACGATGGACAAAGCCCTTGGGAAGTCCAAAAACACAGGGCTTACAACAGATAGCTTGGGGACATGCATGTAATAGTGAGGAGAACAAAATAAACCAATGTATTGATTGAATTGCCACCTTTGTTGAGGTGCAGGGAGTGTAAAATGTATATTTTTAAAGAATGTTAGAAAAGGAGCCATTCCTTTCATAGGGATGGCAGTGATTCTCTTTGCCTTTTGTTTTCATTGGCAGACATGTGTAACAACAAAATGGTCTGTGATCAACATTTTAGAAACTACAAATATAGGTTTGAATTAAACACTTTAAAAAGAATGCCATTAAAGAAATAATGTCAATACAGAACGTGCTGCCACCTTCACAAGACTGGAAAACAGGTCGGAACTAATGTCATATCCCAGATGCTTTCTTTCCTCCATACACACCTGAGCCTGTGTTTCTCACTGTTTGCTTTTCTTAGAGCCCTTTCCACTATGACCACTGGAACCCCTGCTCAATGAGAAACAAACTCCCGTACATCCTGGCTTTCTTCACTGAACTTTGCCCTCTAGCTCCTGCCTTGACTGGACTGGGCTCTCTCCCGAGGCTCCTGCTTCCCCACAGCCTGCTCCAGGCTTTCTCCCTCGATTTCTGCCTGTGAAAAAGATGGGCTGGCTGGTCGGAGTGCAGTGGTGTTGACAACTAATTGATCACAACCAGTTACATATTTCTTTGTTCCTTCTCCACTTACACTGCTTCACTTGACTAATCTAAAAACAAAAAACGAAAAAACAGCTTGTTGGCTCATGCCTGTAATCCCAGCACTTTGGGAGGCTGAGGCAGGCAGATCACTTGAGGTCAGGAGATCGAGACCAGCCTGGCCAACATGGTGAAACCCCGTGCCTACTAAAAATACGAAAAGTAACCGGGCATGATGGCACATGCCTGTAGTCCCAGCTACTTGGCAGGCTGAGGCAGGAGAATTGCTTGAACCCAGGAGGTGGAGGTTGCAGTGAGCGGAGATGGTGCCATTGCACTCCAGCCTGGGTGACAGAGCGAGACTCTGCCTCAAAAAAAAAAAAAAAAAAACAAAGGCTTGTGTTGGCCAAGATTTCATAACAATGTGGATTTTTGATCCTTCAGTGTTGGCTCTTCCTATCATTGTGAAGCAGAACTCGAAAAAAGAAAAGAAGATGGGAGTTGGGAAGGACAGGACAGAAGCTTTCTACTAGCTTCCCACTGCCAAATCCCACTTCTGTGTCAACAAATGTCTACTCCTTTGAGGCTCAGGCTACTTGGCTTGATAACTTTTTACACAACCTTAAAACTATCATCCCAGCCTCCTTATGCAGTAGTAGGTATTTTTGAATCTAGCTTTTAGTTCTCCTTTCCACCCCATGTCCTGTCATCAGCTGCGAGACTCCATAATTTATCTGGATGACTATCTGACTCCCTGGGCTGCCAATTTCCTTTTTTTTTTTAGTTTTAATTTTTACTTTTTTGAGTATATATTGGGTGTACATGCTTATAGGGTACATGAGATGTTTTGATGTTATAGGCATGCAATGCATAATAATCACATCAGGGTAAATAGGGTATCGTCACCTGGAGCATTTATCCTTTCCTTATGTTACAAATAATCCAGTTATAGTCTTTTAGATATTTTTAATGTACAATAAATTATTGTTGACTGTAGTCACCCTGTTGTGCTATCAAATACTGAGCTTATTCATTCTATCTCGCTTTATTTTTAAAAATTTATTTAATTATTTTATTTTATTTTATTTTGAGACAGAGTCTCACTCTGTAGCCCAGGCTGGAGTGCAGTGGTGTAATCTCAGCTCACTGCAACCTCTGCCTCCCAGGTTCAAGCGATTTTCCTGCCTCAGCCTCCCGAGTAGCACCTGCCACCACACCCAGCTAATTTTTGTATTTTTAGTAGAGACGGGATTTCACCATGTTGGCCAGGCTGGTCTCAAACTCCTGACCTCAGGTGATGCGCCCGCATCAGCCTCCCAAAGTGCTTGGGACTATAGGTATGTGCCATCCCTCCCAGGGATATCCCACTTTATTTCTGTACCCATAACCATTCCTACTCTCCCCCACTTCCAGACCCTTCCCAGCCTCTGGTAACCATTGTTCTACTCTCTATCTCCATGGGTTCAGTTGTTTCAATTTTTAGCTTCCACAAGTAAGGGAGAACATGACAAGACGGTCTTTCTGTTCCTGGCTTATTTCACTTAATGACCTTCGGCCCTACCCACGTCATTAGAGATGACAGGATCTCCCTTTTATGGATGAATAGTACTTCATTGTGTATATGTAGCACATTTTCTTTTCTTTTTTTTTAATTTTACTTTAGGTTCTGGGGTACAAGTGCAAGTCATGCAGGGTTGTTGCATAGGTACACACTATCTATAACCAGCATTTCTCCCCATGTTATCCCTCCCCACCCTTCCCACCCCCTGCTGTCCCTCCCCTAGTCCCCCCTACAACTGCCCCAGTGTGTGCTCCTCTTCTCCCTGAGTCCACGTGTTCTCATTGTTCAACACCTGCCGATGAGTGAGAACATGCGGTGTTTGATTTTCTGTTCTTGTGTCAGTTTGCTGAGAATGATGGTTTCCAGATTCATCCAAGTCCCTACAAAGGACAAGAACTTATCGTTTTTTATGGCTGCATAGTATTCCATGGTGTATACGGGCCTATATAGCACACTTTCTTTATCCATTCGTCTGTTGATGGACATTTAGGTTGCTTCTAAATTTTGGCTATTATGAATAGTGCTGCACTAAACATGAGAGTGCATATCTCTTCAATATACTGATTTCTTTTTAGGGGAAGTATATACCTAGCAGGGGGATTGCTGGATTATATGATAGTTATATTTTTAGTTTTCTTTCTTCTTTTTCTTTCTTTCTTTTTTTTTTTTTTGAAACAGGGTCTTACCTTGTCATCCAGCCTGGAGTGTAATGGCACAATCACAGTTCACTGTAGCCTCGACCTCCCAGGCTCAAGCGATCCTCCCAACTCAAGCTCTAGGACTACAGGTGTGGGTCTCACCATATTGTCAGGCTGGTCTTGAACTCCTGGCTCAAACGATCCTCCCGCCTTGGCCTCCCGAAGTGCTGGGATTACAGGTGTAAGCCACCACACCTGGCCTATATGTAGCTTTTGAGAAACCTCCAAACTGTTCTCCATAGCGGTTGTACTAATTTACATTTCTAACAACAGTGCACGAGGGTTTCCTTTCCTCCACATCCTCACCAGCATTTGTTATTGCCTGTCTTGTGAATAAAAGCTAGTTTAACTGAAGTGAGATGATACTTCACTGTAGTTTTGGTTTGCATTTCTCTGGTGATCAGTGAGGTTGAACACCTTTTCATATGCCTGTTTGCCATTTATATGTCTCCTTTTGAGAAATGTCTATTCAGATCTTTTGCCCATTTTAAAATCAGATTATTAGATGTTTTTCCTATAGAGTGGTTTGAGCTCCTTATATATTTTGGTTATTAATCCCTTGTCAGATAGATAATCTGCAAATATTTTCACCCATTCTGTGAATTGTTCTCTTCACCGTGTTGATGCTTTCCTTTGCTATGCAGAAGTTTTTTAACTTGATGTGAGCCCTCCCATTTGTTTATTTTTGCCTAATTGTCTGTGCTTGTGGGGTAGTATTCGAGAAATCTTTGCCCAGCCCACTGTTGGGGAGAGTTTCCCCAGTGTTTTCTTTTAGTAGTTTCATAGTTTTAGGTTTTAGATATATATATTTAATCCATTTTGATTTGATTTTTGTATGTGGTGAGAGATAGGGGTCTAGTTTCATTCTTTTGCATATGGATAGCCAGTTTTCCCAGCATCATTTATAGAAGACGGTTCTTTTCCCAATGTATGTTCTTGACACATTTGTCGAAAATGAGTTCACTGTAGATGTATGGATTTGTTTCTGGTTCTCTATTCTGTTCCATTTGTTTATGTGTCTGTTTTTAATGCCAGTGCCATGTAGTTTTGGTTACCTTAGCTTTGTAGTATAATTTGTCCATTTCTTGACTTTCTCAATTGCCTTTAAGAAAATATCCGATTCCTTAGTATAACAGACAGGATCCTTCAAATATAGTCACCTGTCCATTTCATTTCCTGACATGATTTCTGTCTTTGTTTGTTTTGTGCTGCTATAACAGAATACCTGAAATTGGATAACTTACAAAGAATAGGAATTTGTATTCTCACAGTTCTGAAGGCTGGGAAGTCCAAGATCAAGGAACCAGCATGTTGGGTTGTTGGTGAGGGCTGCCTCCTCTGAAGGTAAATAATTCTGTGTCCTCACATGATAGAAGGTGGCAGGGCAAGCAAACTGAATGCTCTGTGAAGCCTCTTTTTTTCCCCCACCCAGAAAATGTTATGGGCAATTTTTTTTTTTGGAACGGGTAGGAAAAGAAAGTGGAGGGGGTGGAGGAGGAGGAGAAAAGAGTTTTTTAAAAGCCTCTTTTCTCCTTTCTGAGGGCCTTAAACCTGTTCATGAGGGAGAAGCCCTTGTGGCCTAATCACCTCTTAAAAGACCCATCTCTTGATATTATCACAAAGGCAACACCTGAATTTTAGAAGGGATGCATTCAAACCATAGCAGGTTCTTATGTACTTTATATTCCAGCTATAAGAAATACTTTGTAATTCTCTGAAGCTACTGCTAATTTATTCTTCTAGGCCCTTTGCCATCCTCATCCCTCTGTCTGCAATGCCAGTTCTGTTCTCACTTAGTTTGCCTGTTGAGCATCTACATGAATGACTCACTTAACAATTAAGCCTTACATTTCTTATTCTGCCTTCACTCCAGGAACTTTATTTTCTATTCCATTTCAGCTCCCTCTCTCAGGGCTACACTTTTACTGACCAGAAAAACCTGACCTCTGACATCTTAAACCCCAGTACCACAAAGAGGCAGAGGGACTTCTACATTTGGCCAAGATTGAGTAATTCACCCTACTGCCTAAAACAATAGCAACAATAGGGACAAACTATATAAAACAATGGTTTCCAGACACTGGACATCAGACAGCATGTGATAGTGATAAGAGAAAGAGGAGGAACAAACAAGATGAGTGTTTTGTTTGTTTGGTTGCTTGCTTGGCTGGTTGGTTTTCGAGACAGAATCTCGCTCTGTTGCCCAGGCTGGAATGCAGTGGTGCAATCTCGGCTCACTGCAACCTCCGCCTTTTGGGTTCAAGTGATTCTCCTGCCTCAGCCTCCTGAGTAGCTGGGATCACAGGCATGCACCACCACACCCAGCTAATTTTTGCATTTTTAGTAGAGACAGGGTTTCGCCATGTTGCCCAGGTTGTCTCAAACTCCTGACCTCAGGTGATCCACCTGCCTCGGCCTCCCAAAGTGCTGGATTACAGGCGTGAGCCACTGTGCCCAGCACCAGATGAGTTGTATGAGTGTCCTAGCATACTGCCTGGAGACAGTTTCTAGGCCACAGTGCAGAGAGGAGGAACACAGGCAGAGCCTAGCAGTCTTTCTGAGCTAAGAAGACAGAATTGGGAGAGTAGGAGACCAATGTAGCTAAAGTTCACAGGATAGAAAACTGGAGAAAAGAGAGCTGCACAGAGAGAAAGCTCTGGAGATCTACATAGGATGTCTCTCAAGTCTTCAGCTGCGGATTGGTCAGTGCATGCCTGTAAAGAAACTGCCTAAAGCTAAGGGAGGAACCACCTGAAGAGATTAGAGAGAAAAATATACAAAGCTCACACAGGGACCAGAATAGATTGTGTTCTCACCAGCCTGATTGTGGGTGGCAAAACTTCATAAAACACTGGGTAGAATACTTCCTTAGTAGAGGAGCAAAACTAGCCCTAGATTAAAAGGCTACTTTTTGATCCTGGCTTAAAAATCAACTAAACAAACAAGAGCTTAAAAGCAAGCATTTAAAAAGGTCAAACTGTTTCCAAGTAACTTCCCAGAACAAAGCTTAAGTATATTTACATTAGTACAAAAATACCCAGCACCCAA